GTGTGTGTGTGTGTGTGTGTGTGTGTGTGTGTGTGTGTAGTTACCCATCCCAGAGGTTAATGAGGAGAAATGCTGGGGAACAGAGAAGACTGAGCAGAGCCCACCAGGACAGACAGCGAACAACAGGACACGGTCAAATTCAACCAGTGAGTACAGTTGTAACTCAGTAGTAAAATAAAGAAACTATTTCATTCATTAATGGTTATGACTTCAGCTGCTGCATTTTACATGACATGCAAATCAATGAATTTGAAGTTTGGAACGCAGCACAGGCTGCAGCTCTGCTCAGACAGATGCTGTAAGGCTACAGCCGCGTTTAGCGATGACAAATGATGTGAGGAGAGAGAGGGTGCGGGTCAGCTTCACACTTGGCATACACACTTGGCATTGCATTGCATGAGGAATTTTAACAGCTATTTCACAAATATCCGAGAGCAGAAGTTTCACAAGCTGCCTGAGCACGAGGAGAAGGAGTCAAACCGCAGCTCGGACCATTCTGAAACTGTCCGCGTGCACTCAGTCTGCACAGAGAAAATCAAGCTCTCAGGGAGAGCGCAAAAACAAAATCTGTATGTGAAATGAAAGAAAAATGCTCTACAATTAAACACCATAACCTAAAGATAGGGAGTACTACTTTGTTTTTTACAGACACAGCTTCGTGCTTATGGAAAATGTGGTCCCGACTGTGAAAACCTATGCTTATAGTTCCACAGTTGTGAGGCTAAACTGAACAGATTGTAGAGGGCAGTGTCCATTTGTGACATAAAGGTACCAACAAGTAGTTAGATTAAGATGGTTATTGTGCATCCTGATGAAGACAATATGGACAAAACCCTTCAGTAAACAGTGTGAGCAGAAGTGATGCAGACGTTACGTCACAAAAAGTAAAGGACGATTATAATAACAGTCAGTCAGTGGTTAATTCAATGTAGGAGCAAGTAAGTATCTGAGCTGCTGGAGCAGACTGTTGTTTGGATCTGGTTTGGCTGTACACTACATGAAATACAACAGTCTCAAACGAGTGTTATTCAGTGTAAATAGTGCACGTGTTGTAATGTTTCCGCCTGATATGTTATCTGTCATTATCACCTCTGGGTTCATATGGGGAACGAAGAAAATCAGATAACTGATGACATTTCTTTTGCATTGTTTAAATGTATAGTTTTATTGTTTTCATCATTTTAAATAATTATGAATAAAATAATATTTTTCTCATCAATTTTAAACTCTACTATTTGATTTAAGTATCTTAAAGATGGGTGTCCTGACCACAGCCCTTAACTTTGTCCAACATTTTAAGCTTTAGAACGTTAAGGCTCACAGATACATTTGCTGTAGTGATTTTTCAGAAGTTGATGTGATCATTATGCTCCGAAAACAGATTGTATTATAGGTTACTACATTACTACAGTCCAGTCAGACAAGTTCAAACATTTATTGCAACAGTAAGTGTTTGGCGTCTAGGCTCTGACTTCATCACTCCCTCAGATATGATTACACAGATATGATGGGAGTAAAGAGCAAATACTTGTAACCCCCGTCTGAGCCTACAGGTGGATGCTGGGGTGGTGGAGGGGCTGAAGCAACTGGCAGCGATACTGACGCAGCAGCGGGGCAAGCAAAGGGAGAGATGGGGCATTTTCTCTGCTTAAATAGACCAATTAATAAGGTGGCTGTGTTTTATAGATGATTGTAGAGAGTGAGGTATGTCACATGATGTATTTCACATGATTGGACCAGCACAGCTGCAGTTGGCTGTCTGAACTAGCTCACAGTGTTCGCTCCATTTATTTCAATGGAAAGTAAAGCCTGCGTAAAGAGTTTCTACATGCCCCTAGATCACATGCTAATAATTTAAATAGATTCCAAAAAGCAAAAAGTGAAATCTATGTTTATCTTAACAGTGAAAATTCCTCCTTGCCCTTGTTGTGATGATACTGTGTGTGTGACCAGGTGTTCAGCCATATTGGATCGGGGATTTGGACAGCATCATCATGAAGACCCCTGAGCTGTACAGCAGTCATCCTCATGGGAGTAGTGGATTATATGGAAACAGAAAGTCTCTGTCCCAGCAGCTGGAGTTTCCTCACACCACCAAACAGGTATATATATACATATATAAAGCCACATCTAATGACATTTTCTTTGTGTAACTGTGATGTTAACACAAAATTAAAAAAAACAACATAATTTCCTCCTATAAAGACAAAGACAGCAACGTCCAGCAGATAACAAACATTGACTTTATTGAATTGAATCAAAAATTGTAAAAGAAGACAAATCATTGACACTGGTAAGGATATAACTATACCCAGTTTCAGCACTTACAGAAGATCAGGGTTATTTTATTACCTGATACAAAAATGAAGCTCCAGCAGCTACTGTAGCTCAGTGTTATTTTATGCAAAATTGAGTCTGAGCATGTCACTAGTATCATGTCAGCACTTACTGGTAGCAGAAGGAAGAATGATATTGTCATATAATTGTGCGGTTTTGAATGTGGTTTGTGTGTGTGTGTGTGTGTGTGTGTGTGTGTGTGTGTGTGTGTGTGTGTGTGCTCTCCAGTCTGTGCACCGTCCCTCTCGCTCTCTCAGCTCTGCCCAGCTGGTACACTCCTGCAGCAACGTGCAGCAGGCCTTCATTATCTGTAATATAGTGCTGATGAAGGGCCACGGCAAGGTAGGAATCACACTCTGCTGCCAGCTCCAAATCTGCTGGATTCCCTCTGTGCTGCTCTCCATTCACCACTGTTCTCTGCAGACCATAGTAACTGCTTAACAGACAATATTTTTAGCGCACCACTGTCTCTGCACCAGGAGAAGTGACTTCACACCCTTGTGATTTCCTGCCAAAACGGAAATATCTTGATTTTCATCTGCAGAGACAGGACACTTCACCCACCACACGATTCCAGTCCTCAAGTGCAGTGTGTTAACGGCCTAATGTCTCATGTGTTTCATCATCTGGTCCACTTCATTTATATTTCAAAAATACACTTTGTATGTGGTGTGAATAGTACTTTAAGCAGTTTTTAACATGTTACATTTGTGAGTCTGAGCAGACTCCATCACCTACTTCTGACAGGAACTACTCTACCATCTTCTTTCTCAGTTCATTTCTCATCTTGTGTTAAAAAACATAAAACCATCCCTTTAACTCTGATTTTGATGTTTTAAAAATGTTATTCATAGTGTTTCTGCTGCCGTTGCCAGGGTCTGGGATTCAGTATTGTGGGCGGGAGGGACAGCATGTATGGACCGATGGGAATCTATGTGAAAACCATTTTTCGTGGAGGAGCAGCTGCTGCAGATGGAAGGCTGCAGGAGGGTGAGGAGAAACATGAACATGAAGCTCAAACACACACTTATTAATAATAACAAGTGTTTTCGTGTTATTACTGACTGATAATAAATATAAATTAACCCTAAATGTTCCAGGAAAACAAAGCAAATTAGAAACAAAAGACAAATCTTTAACCTGAGCTCCCACACCATCTTACATGTTACTGTGGGGGGATGATAAACACAGAAATCTCTCAAGAGCAGTTCCTGGAGGGGACATCTAGGGGAACACCAAACGTACTGTATATAGGATTATGTATAGATATGACCGAGAGTGGGGGGAAACCCTTTGTCACCTCCTTCAGAATTGTTTTTTAACAATATTTAATAGGTTTAGTAGGTAAGGTAATATGCTGTGAATCTAAGTTGTGATTTTTTTGTTGTGAAAGTGTCGTCAGTGATTCCCTATGAAACTTGGCATACAGACCATGAACAAGATTGAGGTGAAGATTTGTTGTCACCTCTCAAGGATTTTTTTAAATGATATTTAATAGGAGCAAGTTATGAATTAGATTATATAAATTGAGCTGACTTTCCCTTTCATTTTCTTAACATATATATCAAATTCAATTTCATTATACTCTTTTCTTTAATCTTTAGTCAATCAGGCAGTCACATGGAGATCCAGATCTCTTTTCCACGAGAGGCCTGACAACAAGAAACATTCACACTTGGCAACAAGCAAATAAACACGAGCAACAACAAACCACACAACGTGGTCCGGCCCCACTGTTTCCCCCAGGAAGTCTGCCCCTGCTTCTACCAGTGTTCCAGTGCAGTGTCTACTCCACATGTATATACCTCTCGGGTATATAATGAATATGTCATAACAGGAGAAGTAGCATTTAAAGCCAAGTCAAAATGAACACTCTAGTTAGGTCAGTCACACAACAGCTACTTATCAACATGTGTGTGTGTGTGTGTGTCATTTGAGGTCTAATCTCAGTCGATACATGAAACCAATTGTGTAAATGTATGTGTATGTGATTAAGATCATTAGAATTTCACTTTAAAAGTATTTCGTGGAGTAAGACATTAAGAGTTTTCAGGATATAATGATGTCTTCATGTGTTTAGCTTGTGTGTCACAGAGTAGCAGTTTGGCCTTCAACACTCAGGTTGTCTGTTTCTGTGTCCGCACAGGTGATGAGATCCTGGAGCTGAACGGAGAGTCTCTGCATGGTTTGACTCATGATGAAGCCCTGCACAAGTTCAAAGTGAGGCCACTGCATTATGATCCTAAGAGATAGTAGTAACTAGTATTTTCACAGGTCGATATATATCTTGAATATTCCACATACTGGGAAAACAAATTGTACATAGACTTCATTTTACATTAAAAATAACCACTGCTGCAGACCATGACAAAAGTCAACTCAATCAAATTTAAGTAAAACTATTTTAGATAAAAGTGTCTTTTCAATTGAAACAACTAAGCAATTAAAATGAGAAATGTCTGTAAAACTGAAAAAAATGGTTTTGTCTAAAACAGTTTTTAGATCAAACCCATTTTATTGGGTTAGCATTTTCTTTATGGAATCACGTGACATGTTCAGTGTCGGTAAAATGCTTTTTATGTGAGAAATGAATAACTCTTTCAAAACATTTTTATTCATTCAATCAATTTTTTCCTCACTGAACATGGCATGGTCACTTGTGTTGTTTCCAGGAGAACTGTAGCTGGATCCTTGTAGTTATTTGTTCAGTGTTGCTGTGTGCAGGATTCAGTTTTGAGTCAAACTTTTGATCAAACCCATTTACACAAAACAACTAAGCCTGATGTGGCCTAATTCTGTCAACATTTGTAAAGTACCACTGACATGAAATATGAAATGTCTTGTGCAGCAAATCAAAAAGGGTATGCTGACTCTCGTGGTGAGGACCAGCTTACGTGTCGGGGCCCTGTGTGGTCAAGTGCAGGTGGCTCAGCTGTGCAGGTCGCGCTCCCTCAGCTCCACCACTGGCATGGCCAGGGCCAGTGCTGACATGGGAGACTACAACTACCTCAACAACACCTGCAGCAACACACTGAGCGTCCCGGGTCAGCCTGCTAAACCCAGAGACCGCATCATGATGGAGATCATCCTGCACAAAGGTCAGCCTCAAAATAATCCACATACAGTTTCCACAATGGGATAAGTTCCTTTTCTGAGGTTCATCTGATGCTTAATCAAATATTCAGTTCATTTTATTTTCCTGCCAAAATGAACACATCCGGGAATTCACAAGAAGAGTTTTCCTTTTAATCCCTAATGCAAGTCAAGCCTAAAAAATTTCAAATAATGCAAACATAACATATTTTGTTTATACCCTACATCCCTGGTAAACATCCTCCTCTGTTATCCTGAAGAGAAGCTGGTCTTCGACAGGTCCTCGCAAACTAATGAACAGTAACTGTGTAACGGGTGGCTGTGGCTGAGGGGGTAGAGCGGTAGTTCATTCATAGTTGTACATAGTCAGAGCATCCTGAGGTCCAGGGAACGACTCCTGTGTCAGAGGCCTGTCCATACCTGGTTCTAGGCTTCATTATTTTTTTAATTGCCATTTCAGTTGCTTTGCTCGAAGGAGCGGGGGTAGAGCGGTCGTCCTCCAACCAGAATGTCGGAAGTTCGATCCCCAGTCTCCCCATCTGCATGCTAAAGTGTCCTTGGGCAAGATACTGAACCCCAAACTGCCCAATAGAACAACAAAAAGTGCTAGCTATAGAAGCACTGTATGAATGTGTGTGTGAATGGGTGAATGGAAAACTTTAGTGTAAAGCGCTTTCAGTGGTCTTCAAGACTAGAAAAGCGCTATATAAATACAAACATTTACCATTTAACTTTTGTGAGACATTGGTCCTTTAAAACATCACTGAAGTAACTTGTGGTGTCTGTCAGTCAATCAATAAAATATGTGTTAATGGCCTAAAGAACAACTGATATCAGTGGCTCTGTGTGAATGCTGAATCTCCTTCAGGTAATACAGCATCAGGTCATTACATTAAAACTTGATCTGCATGTGTAATGTCTCAGAGGCTGGTGTTGGTCTGGGTATTGGACTGTGCTGTGTTCCATCTGGTGACGGATGTCCAGGGATATACATCCACACCCTCTCTCCTGGATCTGTGGCACACATGGATGGTCGACTGCGGTAAGAAAAAAGCTACGACATGTAACACTCTCTGCCATTCAGCCTCAGTGTTTACAGTACAGTGCATTCAATACAATACTATGCAATTCATTCAATACAGTATGATTTCATTAATCTTGAGGGAAATTTGGTTTAATGCAATTGAAAGAAGACCAAAGATATTCACTGCAGGGCATTAACTAAAATAATAACACAATAAATCACCAAGATTAGCTGTTCAGGTTTGATATGCTGAAAGTGAAATGTCTTCAAAAATACAAAAGGTTATAATAAATGAAGTAAATAGTTCACATGGCAGAAAGGCATTTAAGAGTAAGTGTTTAACAGGTTGGTGTGGGTTGATGACATATTGTGATGGGTCAGCGCACCCAGTCCTGGCACATGCACGGATCACACTCTCATGTGCAGACAGACTGACAACGAAAGAACTGACAGACTGTCATTGTGTTTGGTTGAGGGAAAAAAAGGGAGAGAGGTCCAATACGAGGCAGTGAATTGATCAGCTTGGCAATGGAATAAGATTTTATTTGAAATACTTAAAGGAAAAGACAGAAAATCAATATATGGTGGTATATATATATATATGTGATATAGTGATCATATGACAGAGAAAATCTGTTGTATACAATATGTATGTGTTGGTCAAATATTTGTCCCTTTGTTCATGTTTCTCCTCTGAGAGTTTTTTTCTGTCCCTGAACGTTTGCTCCCTACCTTTAGGTGTGGAGATGAGATCATGGAGATCAACGACACTGTGGTTTACAACATGGCGCTGAATGACGTCTACACAGTCCTGAGCCAATGCACACCAGGTCCAGTCCACATCATCATCAGTCGCCACCCGGACCCTAAAGTATGCAACACCTCCACTGCCTTTATTTCAGCCTCCAATTTATTTGATGACAATAGAATAAAAAACGACAGGGCCTTTAACAGGGGCAGCTGTGGCTGAGGGGTAGAGCGGTCATCCTGCAACCAGAATGTTGGAAGCTCGATCCCCAGTCTTCCATCTGCATGCCAAAGTGTCCATGGGCAAGATGTTGAACCCCAAATTGCCCCATAGAACAACAAAAAGTGCTGCTAATAGATGCACTGTATGAATGTGTGTGTGAATGTGTGAATAGCAAACTGTACTGTAAAGAGCTTTGGAAGCCACTAAGGAATCAACCACAAAGAAAAAATTTCACTTCTGAGGAGTAATGTGACCAATTCTCAACAGAAACAAGAGACTTTACAATAATATTCTAATTCTAATTAAATATATTTGTGTGAATCTATATATTTAGTGTATTCAGTAAATACGTTTGTTCCAAGTCCCTCATATCCTCCCTTCTGCCTTCTATGTTGTAGTTTGTTAAACTGCATCTAACATGTTGTTTGGTGATTGCTATAGTTTCAACTGCTACCGTATTCTGCAGCTGACATCATTCATCACCCCTGAAATGAGCAAAACCAACAACATGTTGGTCCATCACTGACCTGGGAGCTACTGTATTTCCAACAGTAGATTCTTTGATATAAGGTGCGTTAGGAATTCTAGGCAGCAGTACAGTAGGAGGGCTTGGCTCAAAATGAACTACAGCATTTGTGTCATCAATGACGGCGATTGTGTTGAAACAAAAATCATCTGCCAGGCTCTGCTCTGCCCCAAACTATGACACACTATGACAGTACATCATTGCTTTTAAGACCAAATTGAAATCTTATCTCTCGACAAAGGATTCTGAAGATGTGTATTCCACTTGTATGTTGTCAATTAGTGAACTGCTCTTTCTCACAAAGTTTGTAAAGTTGAATAACGAATGGAACAATAAGCTGTGACTTTCATTCGCATGTTTCACAGAAATCACAGATATGGTTTTTTTCCATTTATAGCCCTTCTTTTGATGTAGACATTGCATTTGCATCCACTACTATAGTCAGATGGTTATAATGACATAACAATGTCTTCAGATTTAACATGTTTCACACACACATATATATATATATATATATATATCATCACTTTTTACAAACAAAACATTTCATGTTTTTTAGCATTCTATCAGAAATATATTGATAGACTCTTATAAAAAAGAGTTGGCAGAGGAAAAAGTAACATTGTGATCTTTTGTGTGCTATTCAGAGTCCTCGCTTTGGAACACAACCACAACCACAGCTCTTCACAGTGCAAACCCAAAGGCTTACTTTATACCGTCATGGTGCCATCCATCCTCTGCCCTTTGTGTGTCACAGGTGTCAGAGCAGCAACTGAATGATGCCATCACTCTAGCAGTGGAAAGCAGCAAACTGAGGAAGGAAAAGAGCCAGTGGAGTATTGATGGTAAAATATTCATTTTCAATTGTCACATATTCCTTCTTGGGCAATCTTTCATTTGTTGTCTGAGTGCTCTTTATTTCCTCTGTCCTTTTCCCCAGCTTGTTTCACTTCTGTATAGCTGCGGCAATCACAAAACATTATTTCTTTGCAGATATTCCTCCACTTCCCATAATGCAGCCCATCAGTTAGCATGAGTAGAAATTTCCCATGCTTAAAGGTACAGTGTGTAGAATTTAGTGTTATCTAGTGTCTCCTTCCAAACATGAAAAAGAAACTGTGGTAGCCTTTCATTGTCATAAAAACTCAAAAGGTGTTTAGTTTGTCCAGTCTGGAATAATGTTAAAAACATGGCAGCTTCCATAGAGAGGACTTGCTCCTGTTGAATTTAAATATAAAGGGCCCATTGTAGGGTAAAGAAAACAACAATTCATACAATTTAGATGAAATGAACTAGTGAAAACATCATGAGGATTATTCTACATTTAACCCTAACCCTAACGTTCCCTTTCACCTAAATCTTACACACTGGACCTTTAAGTGAAACTAAAAACAAATATTAAACTGATCGTCATATGTTAAATCAGTGCAATGGTGCTTTAGTTTTGACATTTTTAATACTTCAAAATGGTTGGTTAGCACTGTCACAACACAGCCAGGTGGGAACTATTGGATTAGGGCCTTTCTGTGTGGAGTTTGCATGATCTCTCCACACCATCGTCTGTGTTCTCCTGTCTTAGGGCTGCGCAGACTGGAGTCTTGCTCTCACAGTCGGCAGAGGTGTGAGCATTGTCTAGAGAGGAGTTTCAGTCAGCTGACGGTTCGACGAGCACAGAAGACCATGACCCGCTCCTGTAGCGATAACACCAACAGCCACCACTACAACCGTTGCCTCAACATGCACAACCTTCACAACATGCACCATAACCCATCAACACGTGTCCACAGCCTGGACACACCAAAGGTAAGCTACCACACCACAGATTGTATGGACAGGTTCAAAATACAGCTCAGTGAGCTAACAGTGATTGTTGGCATTTCACATACAGTGTCCTACATACAGTATGTTTTGTATGCATCGATTTTTTCTCTGTTGAAATATGAGATTTTTAAAGAAGTGAAATCAGTGTCTCTAGATGTCATCACTTCTGATGTAGTAGTGTGTCCTATCTTCCTTGTCCTGTAGTCTGTGACAGACACGTGGTCGGACAACAGACTGTCAGTGCCCATGTATCCAGATGAGGACTATAATATCCCATACAACTCTCCTGCTGCCAATATCTCCAGTCAGCAGGCCCTGGATCTGGCCTTCAGGGGCAGCAAGGTACTCCATCCATCCAGCCGGACTTTACCCACAGTTTGCCTTTCACACACGCACAAAGCAGCAGGAGGTTCTCCGCATGTTAAAAACTACAACAAATCCTCAGGCGAGGGGTGGTGCAGCAGACAGAGGCAGGAAGTATTTCGGGGCAGAGTTCACATGACAACACATACACCAGTGACAGCTCTTATCATCAAAAGTTCACACATGCAGCTCCTCTGGAGAAAGTTTGTCGAATCTCCATAGTTCATTGGATTTTCAATTGTGGTGAGAATGGAACCGACCTCGATCCCATCCAAACACTAGGTGTACTCCGCAAGTTTTACCTAAAGGGCTCTTGACGCTAGATGCGCTTTGCATTCTGTGAGCAAAGCAAACTGTAGCAGCAGTGTTGCATCAGCTCCATGTTAAATTTCCCAGCAATCTTTCTTACAGAAATATGCACTTGTTCAAGACCTTTTCGCTGTCTTTATTTTCCTGAGAAACATCTGGAAAAATATGGGAAGTGGACATTCTTACGTGGGTTGTGTAAATACCTGGATTCCTCATTTAAAATAAGAATCTTAAGTTTACTTATATGAACCAGAGCAAAAATAGTGCCTTGACCTCGTCTAATAAAACTTTACTTAACAAAACAGAATGACATTGACTTAATATGATGAATAAAAACAAGGACATTTGACAATTGTCACATGACTGAGACTGATTTTAACTAATGATAATAAAACAAAACTGACTATTACAACACCAACCCTATCTGACTTTGCAGGAGGCAGGGAACAGCAGGGACAAGTTAACAGCTCATCATACATTGCAGTGTTACATAGTCAATTGTTTATATCTATTTTGTACTTTCTAGTACAAAATAGATATAAACAGCACAGTTTTGCCATTCATCCATTCACATACAAATTGATACAGTGCATCTATGTGCAGCACTTTATCACACACATAAACATACACTCATATTTGGGGCTAAGCTTCTTGCCCAAGAACATGACATGCAGAATGGGGGGCACTGGGATTAAACCGCGGACCCTCTGGATAGTGGGCCACCCGCTCTATCTCCTGAGCGACAGCCACCATGTAGTGGGTCTAAAGACTGGGCTTTGAGAGGAAAGAATGAATCCAGTATACAGTCTATGGCAACAGCAACAGGATAATACCAAGAGTACAGGTAATGTCATTGTGGATGGGCATGTGCCAGTCAAGGGGGAATACACTGCTGAAGGCCAGACATTATGCTCAATTACGCATTTGCATTGCATTCACCTTGAACTGCAAACAATACAATCTCTGAGAAAGACATGGTTTGAGAGATAACAAACCATGGTCACAGGCATTTCCATTATATGTACGTTTGTGTCTATGTGTGTAGTCTAACTGCAGGATGCGTGCTGTTCCACGTCGGTACTGTTGGCCTCAGGATGTGACCAGTGAGGAGGGCTACAATGGAGACTCCAGTGGTTCTAGTCGAGGATCCCCAGTTAGAGACGAAGGACTGGATTATTCATCACACACCAGCTGCCAGGTACAACACTGTGACTACAGCTGCTGCAGAACAGAGAGTCTGCTGTTAAAATTGAGTTTTGCACATTTACCAGAATTTGGTCAAAATTGTATTTGTTCTATCCTGATCTACACATGCATAGACTTTGGAGTTACACTTTCGTAATATGACAAAACAATCTAGTTGTCTGCATTGCAGAGTCACAGGGAAAGAAAAAAAGAAAAAAATTACATTTGTGAGTTCTACACAAATAAATTCAACCACAAACTAAATTCTTCTCTAGCACCCAACAGGTTTGAGCTTTACCTTGTTTTCAATGTCAGAAAAAGTCGGAACCAATGTCAGAACCATCCATCAAAACTTTGCATGTCATTTGTGTAGGGTTTTTCCTTTTGCCATTACATTGATCTATTGGGGTGGCTGTGGCTCAGGGGGTAATGCATGTCCTCCTCTAACCATAAGGAGCGCGGTTTGATCCCAGCCTTCCCCATTCTGCATGCTAAAGTGATAAGATCCTGACACCTAAATATGCTGTGCTGTACTCATACAAAAAAGTGCTGCCCATAGATGCACCTCATGAATGTGTATGTGAATGTGTGGATGGCATTAAAGTGTACTGTAAAGCACTGAGTGTTCTTTAAGACTAGAAAAGTGCTCTATAAATATAATATCTGCCTTCCACTGTCTAAGAGAATATGATATCATAGCTTCTTGCTTTATCTAAGAGTATCTAACTACAGAGCCATAACACCTGCATCTCTGTCTCAGTGTTTTTCACTCACATCAGAAGTGTGTGTGTGTGTGTGTGTCTGCTCTGTCTTTCTGAATATACTGATGGTACAATACTAACTTTGTTTCCTCCTGTGTACCATTCATGCTTCTCCCTCCTATCTCTCCACTGCCTGCAGTTCTTCAGCAGTATATACAAAGCCTTGCAAAAGATCCTGAGGTTACTCTTCAGGAATGTATGTGAAGTGATTCAGTGTTGTCCTAGTGAAAGCATGCTACGTGCATTTTGCTTTTTATGATCTAATAAAACCAAACGCTGTCTGCTCAGTAATAGACAATAAAAAGAATGGTGAAATTATTATAATGCTCATTGTGGAAATGTGGAGTTTCTCTCTATAATATTATAAGATATTCCTAATATTGGGGAAATGTAAATCTAATGTAATGAAGTGAATTATAGTTACTAAAATATATAATATTCTATACGTACTATTTAGGCCTCTACTCTGTGTTTATAAATAATAATTCATATTTTTAATGGATTATTTTGTAAAAGCCTGGATTAGGCTCAGGATATTTAATGATGAGATTCCCTGCATGACAACCATGAGATGGTCTGGTCTGCTTACCTACCACCTCACTACATGTGAGGACTTGACTGCCAATGTACATTTATGTCACTACATGGGAGGTGATTGTGAATGTAATACTGTCATACTGTACTGGAGTGTACTGCACAGATCCAACTTACCTTTGGCCTCACTGTGCACATTTGTAGGCCTTGTGTGTGTATGTGGGTGTGTGTGTGTGTGTGTGTTCATGACCTTGAAAGGAAAAGTTGTGTAAATGCATATGGTGCTAACAATACTTTGTTTGCATGTCAGCATGAAAGCATTGCATGTTGTGTGTCGGTGTGCATCATGCTTGTTGTTGAGCATGTTACGAGCATTTGAATGACTGAATCAAACAGTGTGAAAGGAGCAGATGAAATTTGAGCGGAAGCAGGGCATGTTACTGCACCTCTCTGTGGTTGCTGTATGAGAAGCTATCGTGACACAATACTTCCTGTTTGTGTAGCAGGAAGGAGAACGAATAAGAGAACAGTCAGAGGGGAGCAAAGACGATTTCAGTCATCGTGACACTGCTGCCTGCACCGACGACAGACTACACATAGGTAGGTAACAATACTACCATCTCACACTTATGCACCTGAATGTTACTTCACATCTAGTTCATAGCAACAATATGACAGCAAGCCAATCCTGGTGCCATGTTTGTTGTTAGTATGTCAGTGGAAAGTAAGTCAGGTTCCATTTCCTGTTTGAGGCAGGGCTTCTATGTGTCAGTGAATAAAACTGAATCAGGATATAATGATGGTGTTCATCTGAGGCCACAGCAAAGTCAGTGATCACCTGTTTTAGTTACACTGGGCCTCCACCATATTGTTTTGTGAATACACTGTAATATCTATTAATGAATTTTTGCCATTAAAATCTCTGAAACACATTTTTTCATCTCTAACTTCTATTTTCCTCTCCTGGCAGAGGATTCATCAGCGGTGCTCTGCTCACAGCCAAAGAGAGGAGCTCTAAGGAGGCAGGCTCGTATTGAACAACGCTCCCAAGAGCAGCTTCAGGATCCTTGGATTCGCCTTTCAGACACATCCCCTGAAAAACTGGCTGAGACCCACTGCCAAAGCGCTGCAGACAGCACACGGCCTGTTGACCTCAAGTTTGCCACTATGAGTGATGAAGAGAGCCCCGCCAAGCTCAATGGTACAGTCACAGATGTCACTTCAGATCATCAGTCCAACATGACTCCTGATAACATGAAGAGTGAAACTCCAGGATCAAAGAAGGGGCCCCCTGTGGCACCCAAGCCCACCTGGTTTCGCCAGAGTCTGAGGAAAATACGAGATGAGAAGGACCATAAGAAGCAAGTTAAACCCGCAGAGCCGAGGCATGCTGTGGGTTCCAGCAGAAGCTTTGCAATCAGAGCTGCTTCATCTGCAGCCAACCTGTCAATCAAACAAAAGATCCACTCATTTGAGACTTTTTCAAGTCCAGAGAGTCCAGCGAAGGGGGGGCATAGGAAATCTGTGGCCCCTTCCAGCTCCCTTCCTCTGATGGAGAAGGAGGCCAGGAGTGACCAATCCTCACATGAAGACTGTGGGAACAGCAAACATGGAATCACCAAAGAGATCCAGTCAAACCAAACTGCATTTATTCAGGAGACAGACAACACTGTCTCCACAACACCCTCTGATATCACCCCCTCCTCTCCTCAACCTTGTCTTCAAACAACAGAAATGCCCTGTGAAGATGAACCTCCCTCCGTCCAGACAGAGACAGATCTCCCACTCACTGACCCCATCAGCGCTGATCTGGACTCTGGGATAAATGATTCTCACTCCCCTCCAGCTCATGATGACAGCAATGTCTCACCATCCAAACTGTTGCCCCCGATGACATCTATTAGATCCAATCAAGAAGATGGGGAAAGTCCTCCAGAGGGTGCAGAGGGGGCTGCAGCACAGAGCCAAGAAAAGCTGCTGAGCACAAGTCTGAGTGCTGGTCTCCCTACAGACAGTAGCTCCCTGAGAGGCCTGGAGGGAGAGAGTTTAGGGAAAATTCTCGCCTTCAGTAACCAGGTAATCTGTCACAAACGTTAGGGACTATAGTCAGAGATGTGAGGGCAGACTCAACATTCCTAAACCTACAGCTCAGTGCCCTGGATTTGTTTTGTGTGTGTTTTGACATATACGTATATGTACCTATATACCTTTTCGTGGTACATAATTTATTAAAAGCAGCTAACAGTAGAAGAAGGGTGCCTGGATAAATCTGTATTAACAATCAATCAATTATTGCACAAACCTATAACTCACTGTTATGTTCAGCTGTCCCAGATTAAAACTGTGGAAAACTACCTTAAAAATCAACACATTGAATTATGACACAGTTTACACTGATCAACACAAAACTGTAAGCACCAACACCAAATTTCACCTTCATGAGCAGTATATATGATGCAAGTCTTCATTTTCATGCTTGAACTCAACAAGGTCTTTGATGTAGTTTGATGTACCTCAAGTTGATGATGTAAAGATTTCTCTCAAAATGAATCTGTTCCTACAGAGGCAGGTTAACACAGTCAGGATAACCGTGTACATGATCAAATGTTACTGACTTAATAGTTTCATCAGCTAGAGCGTGTTACATCCCGGTCAGCCATACATCAGCTCAGTACTATGTGACGATATCAGAAGGTTGTAACTTTTAACTCCAACCACATTGTGACAGTAAAGGAAACTTTCAAGTAGCAGCTTTAAAACAATGACATTTCAAATGATATTGTATTGAAAAGCTTGATTTGTCTTGATCAGTTATTATTTATAAACTTATTGCCTTTGCACAATTGGGCAGCTGTGGCTCTGAAGGCAGAGAGCAGGTTGGCACTGTATTACTGGGTACATGCAACTTGTAATGTAAAGTACTTTGCCTGGTCAATAAGACTGCATATAAATCCAGTCCATTTACCAGTGTGGTACAATGATAACTAGATTAAAATGGTCTAATTTCTTTTTTGTATGTTGTTTCTATTTCAGGTTTCACAAGCTTTGATGCGTTCTCTTCACTCTGGCTCTAGTGACCCTCGCTCCCCAAACCTGCAGGACCCCTCATCAGTGGATTTAAGGAACCCTGGGGAGTGTGATTCCGCTCCTGCTGTGGACAGCAGCGACAGAGGATTCTCTGTCAGGTAAGAGTTGCACTGCGAGATAGGGCTTGTTAGTTATAATTTGAAAAGGGGACTCACACAAAGCAAACTTTGTCTGTTTGGTATTCATAAGGAAGTGGGTCCAGGTTAAAAAAATGACTTCCTGTTTAATCAGAGAAGCTGCATTTTTATCACCACAATTTGTGTTAACAGCTCAGTTGCACACTACTGGTATGCAATATGCTCAGAGTTGTGTAACTGATTACAGCATCTTTTTAAATGCAGCTTGGCCAAACTGAGGGAGTGCACCATTGAACGAGAGGAGGGGGGATCTCATGATGGTGCAGAAGTCACTTCTGCTTGTGTTCAGACGGTCATCTCAGCCATCTCTTCCCAGGACATACAGAGAATGTTCCAGGAGGTCACAACTCTGGATGAAGAGGCGCTGAAGGTAAACTCTATCATTCAGTGGTGGAAAGCCTCCTGCGCTATGTTATCTCGGCAGGGTTTGGTAATTTACACCACTTTGGCCGAAATATGTGCGTATGATACTGATCACTTTTTTATACTGCATAATGAAAAATTAAATGTATTTAAATGTATTAACCTCTAATTGACAAATTACATTAAACTCAGGGTGGTGGTATGGATTATAGAAATACTCAGATTCCTGTCAGGTAAACAAGGTTAGCCTAACCCTGTTCACATTTACATTAAACAAACAAGATGATGTTGATCAGTGAGCTTTAGAAGGGTTGAAGGCGTATTTTTGAACTATGGTCAGAGCCTCGTTACTGTTTCCCTCCCCTTTTCCGGTCGTCAGGCAAAATTAGCCTAAACACATTTTTACAAAGGCTCCATACTCACTAATATCATCGGAACATCTCACTCTATGACCAAAGTTTTTTTTTGTACCGTTCTTCAATTTTTTAGTCGTTTTTAGTGCAGTTTTTCAGAGAAACGTTATAGTTTAGTTTGATTAACTTTTGAGATAAAATACAAATACATTTTTGGGAAAAACATCACAGCAACATAAGTAGTAGGAAAAAAAACAACATTTATATTCAATAATGTGTATTTACTTAGATCAATATCTTATTTTCTGTCCGAAAAGGAGTAGGAAAAATCACCATATCTGTCTTGCACTCTTCCTGCTCTAACTAAATATTCTAAAAAACATTAGAAATTTTAGGTCTCTTCCCTGGAGCTCGTTGTTCAGTGCGTTCAGTTTTGCCGTCAGGTCTGTCAGAAACCCCAGGTCCAGCAGCCACTGATCATCTGACAGCTCCTCATGCTCCTCGTTCCTTGTCTCCAGAAAAGCAAATCAACAAATCGCTGCAGCACACATCAGCGTGGAGAAGTAGGTCTCCGTGTGCGGCATCAAGCTCATCCAATAAGATCTTGAATAAGCGGTACTGAAGTGCTTTTACTCTAATCAAGTTGATCAGTTTGAGTCATAACTTGAAAGAAGTTCATGACCTTCCCTGTCAAGGCCTGCTGGTGAATGACACAGTGGTAAGTCACAAAGTCAGGAAAATCATGGTCATTACGGCACAGCACAACAAATCCAGCGCGCACACCGTGCATCGCTGGGGCTCCATCAGTGGTAATTGCCACCAGTTTGTGAATCGGGATATTTTATATTTCTTTATTTTATATTTTCAAACGCGTTGTAAATATCCTCACCTCTTGTTCTCTCCTTTAAGTGCAAAATAGTAAGGAGATCCTCTTTTGTAGTAGAATCCAGGACGCCATCCTGACAAATACAACAAGCTGAGCTGTGTCCATTACATCCAGGGATTCATCAAACTGCAGAGAAAAATATTCACAGCACTTGTCGATCCACGTCCCCTGACACTTCCTCAACCCTCCTCGCCACTGTATTGGGGCCAAGCTGGACACTGCGGAGCGTGGTTTTGATGTCGTCTTTGTTTTTGAAGCCGTTAAAAAACCACCTCTGCAGTGATGGCTATTGCCTCCTTGAATAAATCGCCATCTGTAAAAGGCTTCTTGTGTTTAGCCAAAAGATGACTAATATGTAATGAAGCTTCTTTCGCAGCCTTATTTTGAGCAGCAGGTTTTGTGAAAAGCGACTGCTGGGCCTTCAACCCCGCTTTCAGCTCAGCAACTTTCCTAGCGTGGATTGCGTTCTCGGTGGGGAAAGTTTCTTTGAATTTGTCGTGGTTGGCGTTGTGGTCCGCTCCTGATTTCCTCTTTTAGACAGCGCTAGAATTTGGTCGCATATAGCATACAAACATACTTGTCTTTCACCATAGTGAAAATAAATTCCTCTTCCCATTCGTCATGGAAATGATACGTTTTCGACTTCTTTCTCGGAGCCTCCGCTATGCTAGCTGACAACATTGCCGTCATCTGCTAGTGCAGTATATTGTCATTTTGCGACAGTTAATGTGCTAGTATCCTTCTTTGATCTTATTGGTCAATTTGTTACACTGAAAAAATACGACTGGATCAGATAAGATAGAGAGAAAAGAGAGCCGCTTGCAAAACTGAACATTAATCAGCCATAATGTATGTGTGTAATTATTTCTCTATTATTTTCGGGATCTACAGGGAATGTTTTAAAGATCTACCAGTCGATCGCGATCGACGGGTTGGCGACCACTGATCTATGGTGTCAAATGCTGCTCTAAGATCCAACAGGACGAGTAAAGAGACAAGTCCATCATCTGAAGCCATGAAAAGTTCATTAGTGACTTTCAATAGTGCTGTTTCTGTGCTGTGATGGGTTCTAAATCCTGACTAAAATTTGTCCAGCAAACCGTTACTGTCTAAGTAAGCACATAGCTGGTTAGCAACAGCTTTTTCTAGGATTTTTGAAATGAAGGGCAGGTTTGATATGGGTCTGTAATTAGCTAAAACCTCTGGATCAAGTGTAGGCTTTTTAAGCAGAGGTTTAATAACAGCTACCTTACAAGCTTGTGGTACGTAGCCGGTTAACAATGATGTTGTGGCCAATCTGATTAAATATGGAACTGTCAATCAGGGGGAAAACGTCCTTATAAAGTCCAGTTGAGACAGAGTCTAATTGATAGGTTGTTGGTTTAGATGATGAAACTAATGAGGTCAGTTCAGGAAGATCAATAGAAGAAAACTGGTTCAAACATAAATCTGGTGCTACAGGTGGTTCTATGGTTTCAGGACGAGACAGTGTATCTGTGCTTTTCATGGGGAGGAGGTGGTGGATTTTATCCCTGATGGTTATAATTTTATTTGTAAAGAAGCTCATGAAGTCATTGCTTCTCAGGGTTAGAGGGATAGATGGGTCAGTAGAGGTGTGACTTTCTCTCAGCCTGGCTACAGAGCTGAAGAGGAACCTGGGGTTGTTCTTATTTTCTTCTATTAATAATGAATAATAAGAGGTTCTGGCATTTCTAAGTGCTTTCCTGTAATTCATCAGGCTATCCTTCCAGGCTAGGTGAAAGTCATATTGATTGGTGGAAACGCCACTTCCTCTCTAGTTTCTGTGATGTCTGTTTTAAAACACGTGTTTGAGAATTATACCATGGAGCTAATCTCCTCTGATTTACCTTCTTCTTTTTTATCGGGGCGACAGCATCAAGGGTTGTTTTTAATGAGGCTGCTGTACTATTAACAAAGTTAACAAACTTTCCTGTATTGTACTGACACATGGCTGAGAGGTAAGTGTAGAAGGAAGCAGTTCTTTAAATATACTCACAGTTTTATCAGATAAACACCGACTAGAATTTGTGACCAGAATTAATAATTCTAAATTCAAACGTAATTAAAAAAAAAGGTCAGACAGAAGAATGTTCTGTTGAAATATTAATACATCATCAGTTCATATGTCAGAACAAGATCAAGAGTGTGATTCAAACAGTGAGTTTGAACAGTGGCCCTCTGGCCTGCACTTTTGCTCAATCTGAGGCAGCTCCACCTCACCACTGCAATATATATTGCAATATTCCTACGATCCAACTACATCGATCTGTGCTCGGCAAGTTGGCCTTCCGCACGACATAAATCCATCTAACATTGTTTTAAAAGGTAATCAATCGATTGTATCAATACTAGGAAATAACGCATTGGATTTAAGCACGTCAGACTTTATATCAATGCCTTCGCCGACTCCTCGTCAAATCTCAGTTACAACTTACAATTCAAATATCCGGCCTTCTGGGAGGCATTGTGTGCTCATCTGGTGAATATTGTCTTTTCTGCCGGTGGTTGTGTAGCATAACACATATGCTGCCATTTTGACAAGAAAAAGATCTCAAAAGTGATGATATTACATTCGGAAACATCTACAAAATTACGTAGTCTGTCTGGTGACATGGGTGGGAAAAAAAGATTCCGTGGCCACGAATTAATTACGCGTGGGAAAGAGATCCTATCCCGTGGCCACGAATTAATGATGCGTGGGAACAAGATCCTATCCTGTGGCCACGATTTGTTTAATGCGTGGTAACGAGATGATTATTAGTTGGCTACGAATTAATAAGACGTGGCCACGAGAAATATTTGTCATTTCATCAGTGAGACTGTTGACTTTCTGGTATCAGTAGCTTCAAACATGGACAAGTTTGATCTGATTTCGTTTTATTTTAATCTAGGGATGAATTATAATGATAGTGACCCTGCTTTCCAGCTGGACCGGCTGTCTGTCTCTACTAGGAAATAACGCATTGGATTTAAGCACGTCAGACTTTATATGGATGTGTTTTTTTTAGCACTTTTAATGATAAAGGCGTTCAACGTTACTCGATTCAGTCTACCTGTCTGTGACCTCATCGGCACGCGCCGGCAGCAGCGCAAATYTCAAAACATAGCATAATGGCGGATGGCAGAGGAGAAGCTGGCGAGCGAGCAATTATCAAACCACCATTGCYGTCCAGTGTGTGGAAACACTTTGGCTTTTGCAAAGACGGAGATGTTCTAAATAAGTTGCTCGCTGTTTGAAGAATATGTAAAGGTCAAGTGAAGTATATTTATTGAAAATGAGAGCAGAAAAGGTTAACTTCCTGTTAATTCAACCTAAAGAACAGCTTCGGGAAGGCGACTTATGTCATGTGTTTGCGTGTTGTTATGGTTTGGTCTAGTGCGGCCCCCGTCCGTATAGCACAAATCACACGAGGGTGTTGCTCACAGTGCCCCCACCTGCCAYGGGCTTGAATCGATTCAGAAGATTGCTGAATTGATATTGAATTGCAGGGAAAAGAATTGCAATGCATTGCTGAATCGATATTTTTATCCACCCCTAAAACA